CTGTAATGAGTGTGATACCTTTATTCAATCATCTTATCCATTTAACATTAATGACTATAGTTTAATTAGTCAATGAATCAGGATTACCATAAGATGTATGTTTTCAAATCCTAATAAACTGGTGTTTTCACTTGTTTAGTCATTTCTTTAATATCGACCCGTAATTGGTTTAATTAATGATTGTATCAAAACTATTTACTGAGAAACATTTTTCCAGACTAGAATTACTGGGATGATATATTAAAAAACAAACTAAACATGGTATTATTATTACTATATATTTGGGGTTACGAAGAAGTGATGACCGATAAGAAGTTATGAAATCCTATACGAAAGTCATAACACCGAACCTTAGTAAATGTAATCCAAAATGTCAAATTTTGCTGTTTTTGAAAAATTTGCTATAATCACATCCTAGTCTCAGACTTGCAGTTCAGCAACACGCACATACTCAGTCACAATCGTAAACACAATTACATTCCTATATACAGACATTCATAAATATGCACATACATTCATATACAAACACAATAAGAACAGACGGATACAGCAGGTAGAGGACCCTGCCCGTAAGCTTACACTCTAAATTGATATACATACACACACACACACTCATTCACAAACAAAACATGGACACATACTCGATGGGATGTGGCAGAAGAACACTATAATGTTAGAAATACAGGTTTGAATTCCTAGCACTTTAGAGTCCATTTAATTTTCTTTTTGTTTGGTGGAGGGGCGTCATTTTATAGTGACGTACACCCAGCTATCAATTTCTTACATCGAACTGAGCTGGACTGGAACCTCATTCCTGGGGTCCAGTGATTTGTAGCTTTTTTTGTACTATATCTCCCCTGGTCTCTCCAGCTATGTACTCATTCTACAGATAAAGGTGATGTCACATCCTGGCTCTCATATTCAGTAGAGGGCACACAAGGGAGCTGGGAAGTCTGTACTTAGAGAGCCCAGCAGCCACCACACCAACTGCCCACTCTTCACTACTTAAAACAGTCACAGAAAAAGCACCAACCATGCTGCACACCAACCAGCAATGCTCTAGTCGGCTGCTGTCAATCTTGGAGAGAGGGGGTTGCTCTGTGCACCCCCCACCTCACAAAATTCCATGGGTCACACAGACAAGATTAAAAGATCATTGATTTTCCTTTAAGACATACTAATGAATGCTCTAATAAGTTCACTTCCAGTAGTACAATTTTACGTTTGATAGCTATCACACTGTTAGGGTCTGTCCCTATAGATATTTACTCTTCTGTCAGTGATTACCACCAGTGTGCACCATGTTATGGACCATGTGTGGATCAACGGCTCTGTTTGAATGTTCATGATGGAGATGTTGGATATCCACTATAATGCAAATTCATTACTTTTTACTTTTTATTAAAGACATGAGCCATAAATGCAGGCTGTAGTTCTGCTAATATTCCATTAAAGACCTCCATGCCCTATAATGTCCAGGTGCTGGGGGTATTTCAGTGAACTCTTTGTGGGATATGGCCTCTTACACTATCCCTACCTCTGGACTTTGGTAACTAAAATACAATGTTCCATTATACACCTACCCGCAAGTATTGGTGGACAAAGTTCAGTGGCAACAGTGACCACTGGCCTTAATCACTGCCATTAATCACATCCTTCTATACTCTTTTCTTAGTTAGGTTAGTGAACCCAGAGGGCCTATAATAAATAAATGTTTGTACCCACAAACTGTACATAAAACGTAATCCACAACTCCTAATATTTGTGATACGTTCATTCAGTTGAATGTTTAGCAATTTGCAATTTTTAAAACGTGCCTTTATTTTAACTGATCCTAAAATGTCCAGATATATATCTATTTAAATACTAGAATAGGAAGTAAAAAAGCAATCTTATCCCACCCCCTGTCTATTTAAATCAGTTTCCGTGAGGCTGTCGGCAATTTGGTAAGCTGCGTTTCAGCAAAGAGAAACTAATCAATGGTCATCAATAGAATGTGCATCAAGCATTGAGTCAATCGAATGTACATCCATCATTGCGTCAATCCTGGGACGTCGGGGGGCCATCGTACGGTACAATGAGGGTGATTACAATAGCAATATATTTAGAAATAGCAAATCATACTTAGTTTATTCAATAATAAAAGCAGCAGATAGGTACTTTGTTATAAGGTTTCTTCAAAAACTGCAGGTAAATATCTCCTAACGTAAACGCAAGATAATTGTAATTACATTTTATTTAGCATTTTATAACACTAAAGTACACCAGCAGTTTTCTAAAAGGTAGATGGAATTTGGGTTTATATTACTTTGTTATTTTTTGACTTAGTCCAAAAATGTTCACTTCAAATAAAATAAAAAGGATGTTGGTCATCCTGGGATCCAGCGATGCCCACTTGATGATTGATCACTGCATTCTTCCAATTCAGTGTACTGTTCTATGATGTTTCTGGGTACCTCCTGTTCAAGCACTTTGCCCCATTCAGCCCCAAGGAGTGTTCTGAAAGGTTGTGGAGCTAACTGATCCTGTAAGAATCCTGGCACAGCATGGAGGGGCAAACATGTTGATAAATGCTTGAATCGTTCCTTTGCACCCAGAACATATATGAGGGTTGATAATGCAATGATGATATGGATCCTACATGAGTATTTTAACACACAGATGTTTTGTTATAAATTGATTTTATAAGCAGCGTTTGTTGTTAAAATTGATAGACCAATGACGCAGGTCAGTTCATATAACGTAGGAATGAGCAGGTACCATAACACAACTACAGTTGCATTTTTTGGTTATCTGCTGCAGCATTAAAAGGGTTTGTGCAGTCAAGGTTAGGCAGCTTGTTAATGTTTAGTGTGAGTTTGGAACACAGAAGAGACTGATAAAAAAAAAAAGCCATCAGAATAGAAATTGTCTGTCTTCTTAACCCGTTTTATTCCAACAAGACTTGGTTGACATCCGTAAACAAAGAAGAATTCCCCATGGGTCCAACCTCACATAATAATGATGCTATAAATGGCTGGCCTGTTTTGGTGCAATGACAGAATTGCCCAGGGGGAGAGAGCATTTTTAACTCAATTTGGCCGTGGATGCCTGGAATACCTCGAAAGCACCTTGACTTGTGGCAACAAAAGGGTTAATGATCCTATCTGAATCTAATGAAAAGTTCTATGCAATAAACAATAAATCTGACTGTGTCACTCCTGGTTTGACACATCTGCATCTCCGGAGGGAACATACTATTCCCAACATCGGCATGTCGCCTCTTAAAATATTAGATGTTTTTGTGGATTGAAACGTGCTGGCATCTACAGACTCAAGTCATGCTTCAACGAAGCCATCATAAAAGTTTATTGAGCCTATAACATTATTGATATGTTAATCAGCCTTACACATTACATCATTTTTGTTCAAGGGATTATTTTTATGATGGTGATACATCTTTTGGAAGGTTCGGAGGTTTTATGCATCTGATAGAAACGTTATATGTGTTTTATATAACCTTCATTTTACGAGGTTCTTCAAATAACATCTTTGTTTTATTTTCAATTGCAACACAAGATGTTCTGTAAGCAAATCTCTCTGTTTGCTTTCGGGACTATTAGTTGTTCATAATTAATTTGCATGTAATCCCAAACAAGATAATGGATGTTTTTCTTATAATAAAATAACACGTGCACTTTTTATAGGTAGAGAAAATAATAAAACAGTATCTGAATAATATACATTTTGAAATCAATGTACCTCTTTGTTAACCCTTAGTTACACTTGCAGTATGTGGCATGGTGAAAAAGCAGTGGCTTTGATATTTTTAAGTAGTAATTTTTTAACTTGTAAATTAAAACTTGCTATAGGAAATCCACCGTGTCATATATTTTTTGTCTTCTTGTCATTTTCAATATGAAATAACAATGTTGGTAAGCTTAACATGAAAGAATGAGAAACATGGAAAAACCAGCAACATCCTAGCCATATATTTTCAAAAGGAGAATACATTTTAACATGCCGTTTATCATGTTTTATATATTTTTACTTTGAACATTACCATGCACACTATTGAAAAGCTTAAAGGGACACTGTAGGCACCCAGACCACTTCAGCTCATTGAGGTGGTCTGGGTGCTGTGTCTGTTTTGCACTTAGTGCTGCAATGTAAAACATTGCAGTTCCAGAGACCTGCAATGTTTACATTGCAGCTCTAAGTCTGCCCCCTGTGGCTGTCTAACAGACAGCCACTAGAGGGCTTCCAGAATCTAAACGGACTTTTGGCTGACGTGGGTGGAGCCTGACCAGCGCCGAGGGACATCAGCGCTGGATTCAGGTAAGTGGCTGAAGGTGTTTTAACCCCTTCAGCGCCGAGGGACGGGGGACCCCACGGGAGCGGGGCACTCCAAGAGCCTATAGTGCCAGAACAATGGGTTTGTGTTCCTGGCACTATAGGATCCCTTTAAGTGTTTTTACCGAAATTTGATCACTTTTTATGGTTGTTTTTTTATTGTATTAATTTTATTAGCAATTAAAAACCAATTCACATATTACAACAATTCAAGAATTTTTATTTATTTTACTTTTGCCATATGGTTTAAATAAAAAAAATGTATAAGTAAATGGATTGTTCTGTCTTTTCCTTTTGCGGCTGGCCTTGTCACAGATCATGTTTCGTATTATATTAGAGTTCACCAATTTCTACCAAATTCTTTAGACTTCTCTATAAATGCCTAATTTCAGCTTAAATATTTAACAGTAATTTAAGACCAGTGTTAAGCATGTTATTTATATTTATAGTTGCAATTAAGCTCTGAATAATATCTGTTTTCATTTGCAGTGCGGGTTACATTATGACACAATTTCGGTAATGAATGGCTGTTTGATGAAGCGGTGTGAATTGATGGCGGTCTCCTACAAATTAGCTTCTGGTCATCCACAATGTAATCAGGAGACCGGCATCTGAATTTCAACATGCAGAGCATCCCTGATGGTCGCAACAAAAAAAAAAAACAGGAACATAAAATGCGTTTTGTCATTGTAATGGTGCAGGTGATTTTCAGGATCCGTTTATAAATCAGAAAGGAGAGTATAATTCTATTAAATAGTTTTTTTCCTACTGAATAATTTTTAGTGAGAAGGTAGAAACCTATCCCAAATGGATAATTATTTTAGCATTTGTCAGCAAAATGTCCCCAGCATCATGCAGTTGTTTTATAGTCTTTGCATAATATGACAATCATCAATGAACCTGGACAATGTCACTGGCAAATGCTGTATTATTTAGTATCACTTTAAAGTGTGTTATAGTTTATGCAAATAGGCTACATAGTGTTATTCAGACCTTAATGCAGTACACACAGACAGGTTCTGCTAAGTTTTTCCTCCTCTGTTGACTAAACCAAAATGGCTCCCAGTTTTTCTGTGTTTTAATTTTTTTTCTGTTCTTTAATCCTTTATGTACATATATGTAAGCAAGTACAGAAGTTACAATAAATGTATACTGGGCTTTTTGGTGGCTTTTGTCTAACCTTCTCTAATTTGTCCCTTCATTATCAGCTGGTTGAGCTTAAAGATGCTGGGGTGCTGCCCCCCTCCTCTGACTTGTTGAGCTCTACCCACTTAACACTATGGGCTGTCATGTCTGTTCAAAACCGGTGCTTCTCCAGCCTTCAATAAAGGGGAGAATGGAAACTGCAGATATAATCATGTCTGAAACAAACCTATCAGTAATGCAAATACATTTGTTTTGTTTTTTGCACCAAAACTGCCATCCCACCTGTCCCTTTGGACCAAACACCACTGTTATTCATCTCCTTAGCCTTGTGACCCTGCACATCCCTAATAAACATAGATAAACATACACTGTGTTCTCCTAAATTACCTCTGTACTTACTTTACTCTCAAAGCTGTAATCTAAGACCCTTATCTTGGCCATCCCCTTCTTGCTATGTTTGACTAGCTAGTACTAAATATCTGTAACCTAAAAGGATATCTATAACCTAAGTGCAAGGAGCTATGACTGCTTTATAGTTGTAGAAAAAGAAAGATACTAATAGAAAAGCGCTTAAAAGGGGATAAGGAAAGAAAAAAAAATGTGGAGAAATCTTTCGCAACCACCTTCACATTTTATATAAATTAAAAAATTCAAACTATATATATTAGGCAGCTTCACACCTGTGCTTTACCCCAAAAAACAGATACCAAAATATACTTATATACTGGTGGAGCGCCTTCAGAAAAAGACCTTGGTAGTTTTGCGATCACTCTATTGCACTGGCTCAGAGATCACTCCATTGCACTGGATGCATACATGTTTAGCTCCATGCATACATGTTTAGCTCCATGCATACATGTTTAGCTCTATGCATACATGTTTAGCTCCATACGTACATGTTTAGCTCTATGCATACATGTTTAGCTCCATGCATACATGTTTAGCTCCATACGTACATGTTTAGCTCCATGCATACATGTTTAGCTCCATGCATACATGTTTAGCTCTATGCATATATGTTTAGCTCCATACATACATGTTTAGCTCTATGCATACATGTTTAGCTCCATACATACATGTTTAGCTCTATGCATAGATGTTTAGCTCTATGCATATATGTTTAGCTCCATACATATTGCAGGTTTCATCTAAATAGACATTCTGGAACAAGGTTCTAACAATGGAACAGCTGAGATAGTTCATTGGTTTTCATGGTGCATACTCCACGTTTAGATCTTTGATTCTTTTAAAATAACCTGCATAGTTTTGGTTTTTTAAATGTATTTTTAATGAAAATATGCATTCCTGCAAATTTCAGAAGGTTTTTATTCTCACAGTCTCTGGGTATGATGGTCTATTTACGGTCCATAGCTCTGGTCTACTGGTGGGGAGACATTCACCCCTTGCCCACTCTTTTCTCTCCAGACTCGCTATTTATTACTCCGTTCATTTCTGGCAAGTCGTGTTATGACCTCACCTTTTTTGCAGGTTTAGAACACCCATATAGGAAAAAAAATGCAAAAATATCTGAAATACTAATAGTTCCAGGCATGTAAATATGTAATACGGGTGTTATATAAAGGCATTATGATATGTTTTTATTTACTTCTAGGTTCCATTGTGGGATAGAGAGAATGGTACATTGCGGGATCCCTTATGCAATTCAACAGGTAAAAATAAAGAGGAAATGTCACTTCTGAGGAATTTCTCCAAGATATGAAACATCAAAAATCACCTATAACTTGTGTTAACTAGTGATGTCCCAAACGGTTCGCCAAACAGTTCGCGAACGGTTCGCCACGAACGGTTCGCCATGAACAGTTCGCCGTGGGCTCATCGTTGAGTAAACTTTGACCCTGTACCTCACAGTCAGCAGACACATTCCAGCCAATCAGCAGCAGACCCTCCCTCCCAGACCCTCCCACCTCCTGGACAGCTCACTAAGAATGCAGCTTCACAATGAATGTAAAATGGATGCTGTCCAGGAGATGGGAGGGTCTGGGAGGGTCAAGGTTTACTCAATGATGAGTCCGTGGTGAACCGTTCGTGGCGAATTGTTCGTGCCGAATCGTTCGTGCCGAACCGTTCGGGACATCACTAGTGTTAACCCCTTTTTTTTAAATAATTTGCTCAATTTTATTTAAAGTTTATGTTAAAGTTTTAACAAATTACATCACAATCCAGTTTAGACAGAGCAAAGTGAAGACAAACACTGCAGATGAGAAGGAGAACTAGAAACCTTGTTTCATTTCTCCTGTTCTCTGTAAGCTTTCTCTGTGCTGACTGCTGGGTGCGAGCAACAGATGTTTATAACAATGATTGACAGGGAGCTAAGTATACATTTTACTTATTTATTACACCTCAAAAATACATATTTGTTAAAGATAGGGAATACGTAAACATAATATTGAAAATCCAGGGAAGTGATAGATCCTCTTTAACAATATCTAAATGTTTAAATGCGACTGGCAAATGCATTATATCAATATTTTTTTTAAATTCTATATTCAAGGTAGTGCTCTCATCGTTGGGTGATTGATACCACATTAAAAATAAATGAATAAATAACAAGAAACAATGAACAAAATAAGTTGAAAATTAGTGACAAAATAATTCGATCCTTCTCTTTAGGACAAGGAGGTTATTTACAAAAACAAGCAACTGTGAATATTCATACAATGCCCCAAATGGGATTTTATATATGAATGAACAATGATTGATGTATATAGCTTGATAAATGATACAATTAGAATACCTGCACACTATACTAGCAGTCACGGAGAAAGAAATGCAAAAAACAAAACAAAAACAAAAAAAACAAGAAAAAAGGATGAGTGGGAGTGATGTAATCCTTGAGAGAATAAGATTTTAGTAGCAACGAGGAAGTCTTCAATGTAAAGTTGGCACAAATATTAGGATTCTCGGTTGTCACTATCGTCTTACATTTATTCTGAATGAATACTATCCATCCATCAGCCCTTAAAGAGTTTCCTAACAGTACATTGACCTTGAATGCTGCTCATTGATTTTCAGTAGAGCATCACAAATAAGGTCGTTACAGTCTTCCAGGAGTGGATGTGATTGGGAACAGATTTCCAAAATTCCGATATTGTGCCACCTGCCCGTGATGATGTATCGTTGTTCTGTTCCCCATCAATCCTCACCTGGTTCTAAGGATGGAGACACCTGTATGAAATTCATCATTCTGCAGCACAAGCCGAACAAGCACAGACAACTTAAGCTCTTCGGCATTGCAACGGGTTATTTTACAGATCTGTCCCTGGCCTGCAGCGCGATACAGCTGCGGGGCTGCAGAAACTTATATGATCTTTTATTCACATGCGTTTCAGCTGTCATGGCAAATTGGATGAACTTTCCAGGCTGTTGCAGGCATATCGATCTTAGAAAATGTAACTGAGATTGCATGACAGTCAGGACCCTATTTACAAAGTGATTTCATTACTGAAGACAACTTTGAAGAAGCCTGCTTTATTTTGGCATTTTTTTTCTTTTTTTTTTACTTTCTGTTAATGGTAACATTGATAGCATTTTTCTTCTAAAAACGTGCAGATTCAAATTGAAGAGATTGAGTTTAAAGATGAGGATTTTTGTGATTGTAACAGGTTGATAAAAGATAGTTTTCAGCATGGCAAAAATATTAGTACAACTATGACAGTGCCAACGTTTTGCCTGTATCCTATCTAGACCATACTCAAGTCTTAGATCCAGTGCAACTGCAGTGCCAGATTTACAATTGGAGTAGATTTTATATTCAATTTGAATTGGTGTTATGTGCAATGCTATGTGTTATGTTATGTGTTATGTTATACAATAATGCAGGATGGAACTATTAGCAAGCTAGATGAATTCAAGGTTGTCTCAACAATGTTAGAAACAATGTTTTGTTTTGTTTACTAATACACTCATAGTGAACTAGTCATGAGATTTCAGTGAATTCATTATTTGACAAATATATCAATATTCAGCCTGCTTGGGGACTTTACCCAATTTAAACAACTGCTGATTTTTGTCTTGCCTTGTCTGTTCTGATGGTCTAAATGAAATGCATTCTGAGTTATCTGTGAAACTTTTCAGGTGCTCTCAGGGGAGTGTTTATGCTCAGCACCTATAAACAGTCGCATAATTTAGTTTTTGCACAGGCTGAGTTAGATAAGGGCACCATTTGTTGCTCATTAGGAGAGTTTCTAAAATTGCAATGGTTGTGTCTATAGCTGCATGTACTGAAAATCAGCATGGGGAGGGAAAATTACTGATATTTAAAGGTGTCTACATCATCAAAATTAGCCATTTATTCAATGCAAGCTTAAAATAGTAACTTAACAACCACAAAAGAACATAAAGAAATGATATAAAATCAAAGTTGAAAGCAGTGACCATAGTTTTAATCAGGGTACCAATGCCTGTTTCATGAAGGTACTTAAGAATGGGGTGACTAGCAATGTCATGCCTCCGATTGTCACAGGACATAGGTTAAATCAACGATGTGTTACCCAGGCCCAGTTTTCGAAAGAAAGCACAGTACCACCATAAAATTCAGTAGATGACTGCAGACTGTCTTGAGCGAGTGTGGTACTCAATGTTTGCTTCTTGTAGGAGTTCTGTGACTTGTTGCAAAGATTGTTACTATGACCGAGTTCTTCCACTTATATCATCAATGAGCTGTAGAGTGTGGTCCTCAAATGTACATGACTCCTTGCCTCTTATGCTATAATGTTAGTTTGTCTGTAATATTTGAGAAAATGTCAATCATGCCTCTAGGAGCACTTGCTGGGTCTAGGGAGATTAAATAAACCTAGAGAAATGATTCGGTAATCACAGTATTAGTTACAGCAGCTCCATCACATTGCTTGTCTTTACAGTTCCTTGCACCTTTTATTGTCTTCTTCTTTGTTTGTCATCCATGGCCATATCTGTTGTGAGAACTCTACACGGTATCTCTGGAGTTGGTTTATAGTATCAGGCTCCTTCCTCATGCCCTAGAATTAAACATCAAGACCTCAATAAGGCAATAATACCAAAGAACCTTTCTGCTTGTGCTTTGAGAATTTGAGAATAAAGTACGTAGGAGTCAATATCTCTGTTTTTCAAACTCAAAATCTAAGAGCATCCAGAAAGTGTGAATCTTTGTTTCAGCTGTTGTCCCTAATCTGAGCAACTTTTAATGAATCCCCAAGGTTTAGCAGTCCTAAGAACTCAACTGCACACAGACAGGAAGATATGAACGCATGCAAGCACAATATGTTGTTGATATTATCCAATCTCCCATAAGTCTTCTCAAAATACTGAGTTCTACACATAACTGTGGACTTTTATAAATGGCTTTTATAATAGCTTTGTTTCATTTTTCACCTTAACATTGCAGATGTCAACTGGTCACAGATTAAGAACTACACCCGATCAATTTCATGAACAGGCTGATACGTTTTTTTCTTTTTCATAAATTTTTATTACCCTTAGCCTAATCTCTCCTGACTCTACTAGCAATTTAAAAGACTTAAGTGATTGTTAATAAACAGTATTAAACTTTGACCTAGGCATTTAAAAGAGGTGACGATTACAGAGCAGTTTGTTGACCTGCTTCCTCACACTACTGGGATGGGAATATGATCATGTTATTGACATAATGTCAGAGACAAATTCACATTTCTTCTCATGGTCTGAGAGTTGCCTTTTTAGAGGTGGTGACGCAAAAAGCAGAATTATTAGTTATAGTACATTGGAGCCAAAATTATATATTTGGTTTAACTATCAACCATTTCATACACAACAAAAACTATAGAGATAAAACAACAACATCAAATTAACATGATCATAGTATAGAATATCCATAATTAAGTGGAGACTAAATGCACACAATGTAAAGGTAAAAGTTCTTCTTCCAACAGCTCCTGATTTGTCAAGACAAGCCGATTTTGTTGTCATATAAGGAAAATACAATAAAGGCAAGGATCTATTCTCTGTCCTACTTCGTGTTCCTGGCTATGGTTTGTGGCCAACCTTCATCACTAGTTTAATCGCAAGTTGATTAAGCATACCAAGAAAGCCATCTTGTAGAGATGATTGGGGAAAACACACCAAATAATTTTTAAAAACAGACACTTGTAACATGCCAAAAACTATCCCAGGAACCAAATGCAATGTTAAAGAACCACTCCACACCCCAAAAGCACTTCGGCTTGCTGACATGCTTTATAGGTGTGGAGTATCACAGTTTTACCCCAGTTTATAATATTCAGGGTCCAGGCCTGTCCAGGGCTCTCACGTCCCCTTCTGCTCAAGCACCGGGGGCTCCTGCAAAGCTTGTCAAAATCCCTGCTTTTCCTGATATCTTTTCTATGAAGCAGTTTAACAAGGATCATTCCCTTAGTCCTATGCTGTCAGATATAGCAGCCAAGTCAGGCATCAACTGAAAGTCTCTTCTAGGGAAAAAAGGGAGTACTTACTAAGGCAGCACTTCATAAGAGCCTTTGCAAGCTCTTTTAAGATGTACCCCCAATGAAAACATGCATTAAAAATTCAGGAGTGTTTTAGTTTTTTACAATGTGGGCAGTGGAGTGATCCTTTAAGTACTTATAGAAAAATCTGACTTGATAGGCTGTTTGTCTCTCACCTGCTAATCTATTTTCTCATTCTTTGTAGGAATTCTTCAAGGAGAGACATAGAACCCTATTCAGGGTCCAGGCCTGTCCGGGGCTCTCACGTCCCCTTCTGCTCAAGCACCGGGGGCTCCTGCAAAGCTTGTCAAAATCCCTGCTTTTCCTGATATCTTTTCTATGAAGCAGTTTAACAAGGATCATTCCCTTAGTCCTATGCTGTCAGATATAGCAGCCAAGTCAGGCATCAATAAATTACTCTGACATATAGCACTTCATCAAATACCTCAGCCTCCTATCTTGGAAGCCGTTGTGAATCACCTCACATGCACGGTAAATCTGCTTGTAATCCTCCGAGAAATACAACTCAATTGGAAGACAAGTTTATTTTTCAAACATATTTTGTGTCAAGTTTTACTAGAGCATAGTTTAACCTATTGCTCACTAGCAAATGTTTTATTTCTTCAGTCTTTGGTTCTAAATACCGAGACCCAAATACCGAGGTAATCTTCATTCCTTAAAACAAAATGGTGGACAGGGTATGGGTGAGGAGCAAAAATATAAGAAATGTGAAAGTGCTTGACTCATAAACGCCATCTTGAGTGATTCAATGTCTATAGCCCTATTGAATATGCAAATAATCGTGCAAATAACTGCTGATGATGTGTCACTAGAACTGTCTTGTGCAATTTTCATTGTGCATGTACTGTTGTTAAGGTGCGTTTGAAAGTGCCAAGAGGCAAAGCCAAGAGGCAAAGCCAGCCAACACATGCAGATTGCAGAGTTGAATTAAAAGTGGATTTCCAATTTAAGGCCAGAGCAGCTGAAATGAAAACAGAACTGGCTTAGAGAATATTTGCAGTTCGACTATTTTGACCTTATTTTTTTATAATTACTTTAAAATTCTCACTCTAGTGAATGAACCGCGCAGTTGTTAAGGCTATGTTACGGAGGGGAGTATATAGCTGTTCATGACATAGAATAGGGCCTGACACTAACTTTTTGGCAAATATGCTTACTAAATAGTGCCCTAAAATGGCACAGCAGCAAGTTTAAGAGGCTACAGAGAAAAATGATTTGTCTCTAACTGCTAAAATAAATTACACACAATTTAACCCCTTAAGGACACAACTTCAGAAATAAAAGGGAATCATGACGGAATATTTACGTCATGTGTCCTTAAGTGGTTAAAGGCAAACTGTCCCTTCTCTAATATATGCTGTGCCGTTCTCTGCAGTATACACCATCGAATAAAACATTGTAAATCACCAATAAGTGTTAACCTTTAAGATGCTGTCCTTTTTTTAAAGGAAAATTACAGTGTTAGGAATACAAACATGGTTTCCTACAGCTATAGTGTCCCCCTACCTATGAAGAACACCCCTTGAAATGGCTAGAAAGGTCTGATTTTCTTACCTTACATCCTGCAGTGTGCCGGTCACTGTGCTGCCACTCTGCCACACAAGATTGATGTAATTGAATGATCTCAGCCAATCCAATAATTTCCCCTCGTGTTGCACTGGGAGGCTAGTGCACATGCGCAGCAAAATGCCGAGCTGCACCAATTAAATACTCTCTATGAGAGTTATTTAATCTATGACTGAGTTTAACTAGGTTCTAGAAAGCCACTAGAGGTGTGTTAACGCTGCAATGAAAACATTGCCTTATTTTCAGTTGCAGGGCTAAAACTACAGAAGTTTGGCATCCAGACCACATTATTTAGATAAGATGGCCTGGGTGCCTTTAGAGTCCCGATAAATTCAAGTCCTGCACTAGCCAGGCTTTAAAAGTTACACGCCATTGCAAGTCTGGAGGGTCTCTGTCATTCTCACCATACTCCCTAAAATATAGGAATTTTGAAATACCATATTAAAAATCCTTGGAAGTGAGAGTTTCCCTTTAAAATAAATTAACCTCGTACATCTACACTCACAAGTGCAGGGCAACCATTAGAACTCTACAGGTCCCCTACAGTCCAATAGATCCACCTTCTACGACGCAGACACACTCCTACATACAAGTACAGCATGCACACTAACGGATGCACACAGTCACAGACACACAAAGATATTGATACACACTGCAAGACAGATACAATGATACTGATTACCAGACACACACTCTCAGGTGCTCATACACAATGCCACACCATACACACCATACACAGTGCCACACCACACACAAAATACCTACCACAGATAAACACATTACCAGATGCATACACAGAAACACACTGACTGCAAACTGCAGTTTGACACACACACTAAAATATATGGTTTAAGCCATTCCCTTTTTATCGTACTTCTTGTAGTAGATGGGTTACGACATATATTTTAGTGTGTGTGGTCCATAGGGGATACCGCTGCAATTGTCGATGTGCTAATCTTTGTCTCCCACGTGGCTTGTTCATACACTGCCAAACAAGTCTAATATAATCACTTTTTCCCGGGACTACCGTGCAGGAGAAGAAATGGGGCAACCAGCAAAGGGGTCCACACCTGAGTTCCGCAATGCACTTTGTTTTGAGGAGATAGTTAGTAAGGGGCTCTAAGGCTCTGCCAGGCCCCATAACGGTGTACACCCTGATGGTGGCACTGCACATGTTAATAAAAGCGTTTTGTTCTCTCATAGTGACTCTATTTTAATCTGTATTTGACATTAAAGCACAATAGTGAAAAGCAGAAAAAATAATTGAAAAAAAACAACAACAAATGGATGGAAAAAAAAAGCAAATATTCTGCCATTAAGATGCTTTAACTAACCCGTGTGACAGTTTTCATAAGTTATCGGCGGCTGTAAACCAAGATGTTAAATTGTCTGGCTGTTCTATTAACTGCAAATAATCCTATCCCCTTAGCCGCAGCCATGAAAAAAGTCATTGTCCTAAAAATGACACAAGATCATCATCTTCTTCCTTGATTGCACGGAAAATATTATTTTTTCGAATTAGGTGTTTTGTAGAGAAACTCTTAAATAGTCGAGCGGAAGCAGACAGAAGAGAGCCATTATATTTTATGGTGTGTAAAAAGTAAGAATCACTGATGATATACTTTCTAGTTTGGAAACTAGCTAGCTCATTTATTCAGGTTAGTTCCTAAATGAAAATTGAATATTTCCTGTGACTCAAATTAAAATGTATATCAAGTTCATTGGGACACTTAAGCTTCTGTTTTCATTCCAAACTGTATCTGGCTTTTTGACTGTTTGATTATTTTAACACTGGAAATTATCTCACGGGAAGAAATGACTGCAAGTCACGTAAATTTGTATCAACTTGAAGGAACATTAGACTTACATTGTTAATAGCTGAATTTTAGTACGAATGGAAAAAGCATAGAATATACATAACCAGTTGATGAAGCCCGAGGCGAAATGTGTTCTAGAACATTTATATCCATTTGGACATATTTTAATTTATATTTATCTCATATTATATTTGTTTGTATATAATAAATTGTTGCACTTAGTGCATAACTTTACTAATTGGTTACTGCATCATTCCGAGGAAGATGGTATGGCCCTTAGCCATTCAAAATGTGGAAAGTGAGTCCTATCTAGAGGCTCTTTACTTGTGAGTACCCTGTTTTAAATTGATTTTATAAAATATTTCAATACAGTACTACTCTATGTATATACCCCATTGAGTCACTCCATAGGATAAATTGGGAAGACATGTGGCATCAAAAAGGGGAAGGGTCGCCTCTACGGACCCTGTGGCTATTAATACCAGAGCTAGGTAAGATAGCTCTAAAATATGTGAGTGTTTCATTGTCACTTTTACACAAAAACATCTGTAAAAAATTTTTTTACACTATTAGGTCTTATTTTATTTTGAAGGATATTGGGGGTCCCAAAAGACCCATATATAGCACTTATAAGGTAGTAAGTGTGATTTGTATTATTATTTACTTGTTCACTCAATAAGCGCTTCACTATACCTCTGTAATCATGAATGGACAAATCTGTTTAATCAGTAAATCATCAATGCTTTCATATTTTATTTTCTATGGTGTTAAAATCGTACAAAGGGAAAAAAGTGTGCACAAATCCTTCCGTGTGCAAATCACTCTTAACAATTATTTTGCCATAGTTGCAGGTAACTGTGATCCCCTGACAAGTCCTTGAGTCCTGGTCAACTAATTCTTCTTAACTATAGAAAATTGGGCAATGCTCCACTGCTTTTAAAACGAATTACGGAGCACATTAAATAGGCATTATCAACAAAGAAATCACAAGGCTATTAGAATGCAGCTAAATCTTTAAGCAGATATTTCTTATTTGAGAACTCTATCTATACTCTTGATTGTATTGATTGCCTGTAGACATGTGCAATTCGTTTCGGTCCGAATGTGAATTTGGACGAATTTTGGGCAATTTGGACATTCGGGTACTTCTGAATGTCCGAATAGATGAATTACCTAATGCCGAATTGCTGAATGGTTGAAGTACCGAAATTACCTAATTTCCGAAGTGTCAAATTGCTGAAGTGCCGAAGTTCCAAAGTGCTGAAGTGCCGAAGTTCCGAAGTTGCCGAAGTTCCGAAGTGTTGAAGTGCGAAGTGCCGAAGCACAGTATTGCCTATGAACTAATATACTTACCCAGTGGAAGAATGAACAATGTTACACTGTATACAATTTTAAATAAAAAGTATACAAACATAGCCAGGATTCAGCTGTAAGCATTTGCAACACTTACAACAATCAAGTAACATACATTTATATAAAATGTAAATTACTTAGGCAGTCAGTGTAATGACAGGAATGAATAAGTACATAACTCCCTTATTCCCACGGTATTAGGGAGCTATCTACTAAAGGCTGAAAGACCCCTACCGCGAGTAGGGGCAAGTCTATTAAACAGTGAGCACCAGAGTGGGGGCTTCTAACCTGACGGGGGGACCTATAGCCCCCCCGGCCCCCACCCCTGAACAGCGGGTGGGGGCCCAACAGTAAAATAAGGGGGGAGACCTAATGTCCTCCCCCTGGTCCCCACCCCTGAGCGGTGGGTGGGGGCCCTAAATACTAATAAGGGAGGGCGACCTAATGTCCTCCCCCTTAGCCCCCACCCCTAAGCGGCAGTGGGGGCCCTAAATTGGAATAAGGGGGGGACCTAATGTCCTCCCCCCTGGCCCCCACCCCTGAGCCTCTGATCGGGGCCCTAAATTGGAATAAGGGAGGTGACCTAATGTCCCCTCCTGGCCCCCACCCCTGAGCGGTGGGTGGGGGCCCTAAATAGTAATAAGGGGGTGACCTAATGTTCTCCCCCCTGGCCCTCACCCCTGAGCGGCAGGTGGAGGCCCTAAATACTAATGGGGTGGAACTAATTTCCTCCCACCTGGCCCCCACCCCTGAGCGGTGGGTGGGGGGCCCTAAATCCCAATAGGGGGGGACCTATTGTCCTCCCCCCGGCCCCCACCCCTGACCGGTGGGTGGAGCCCTAAATAAAAATGACTAGGGGTCCCCAAACCCTTAGTCACCCCCTACCCCCCCAAAAAAATTAACCCCTACCTACCCCCCTCACCCTAAAAATAATGAGGTGGACCTTTAACTAAGTACCTGTAAAAAAAATAAAACTTACCATTCAATGTTTTCTTTCTTCTAAAATCTTTTTTTTTCAAAAAAAATCCATCTTCACCCGGCCAGGGCTCCGCGCAGACTGAGCCTTGCCCCGCCCTGCAATTAGGCTGAGAGCACTCTGATTGGTGGGTTTAAGCCATCCAATCAGAGTGCTCTGACAGGTAAATGAAGAGACTGACAGGTAAGTCTCTACATTTACCTGTCACAGCAATCTGATTGGTTGGCTTGAAATCCACTAGAGTGCTCTGTGTCATTTTACACAGCGTGGGAAAGTTCTTTGGAATTTTTTTTTTGGGGGTGACTGGGGGTTTGGGGACCCCTAGTCACCTGGGGGGGGTAACATTTTTATTTAGGGCCCCCACCCGCCGCTCAGGGTTGGGGGCCAGGGGGGAGGACATTAGGTCCCCCCCTTATTCCAATTTAGGGCCCCCACCCGCCGCTCAGGGGTGGGGGCCAGGGGGGGAGGACATTAGGTCCCCCCCTTATTCCAATTTAGGGCCCCCACCTGCCGCTCAGGGGTGGTGGCCAGGGAGGAGGACATTAGGCCCCCCCCTTATTCCAGTTTAGGGCCCCCACCCACCGCTCATGGGTGAGGGCCAGGGGGGAGGGCATTCGGTCCCCCCCTTATTAGAATTTAGGGCCCCTACCCACTGCTCAGGGGTGGGGGCCAAGGGGGAGGACCTTAGGTCCCCCCCTTATTCCAATTTAGGGCCCCACCCACCGCTCAGGGGCAGGGGTCAGGGGGGAGGACATTAGGTCCCCCCCTTATTCCAATTTAGGGCCCCCACCCGCCGCTCAGGGGTGGGGGCGGGGGGGCAATAGGTCCCCCCTTTAGTTTAAAAGCCCCCATTTGTGCGTCGCGGTTGGGGGCTCGGGAGGGGGGACCTCACAGGCCACTCACTGTTTAAGAGACATGCCCCTACTCGCGGTATAGCGAGTAGGGGCAAAATTTACTAATACTAAGTAATTTTTACTTAGTATTAGTAAATTTGTCTGAAAGACCAATTTAGGTCTTTCAGCCTTTTGGTAGATAGCTCCCTAATACCGTGGGAATTAGGGATTATCTACTAAACGGCTGCAAGAGAAGTCCCGAAGTGCTGAAGTCCCGAAATTCCGAAATGCCGAAGTTCCGAAGTGTTGAAGCGCCGAAGTTGCCGAATTTCCGAAGTGCCGAACTGCCGAAGTTGCCGAAGTTCCAAAGTGTTAAAGTGCCGAATTGACGAAGTCCTGAATTGCCGAAGTCCCGAATTTCAGAATGCCGAACCAAACCGAAAATTTTCCCCATGCACATGCCTAATTGCCTGTGTATCAGTTTCAGGCTCACCCTAGATCCATTTACATTGTAAAATCTCAAGCAACAGGTGTCATTGCCTTGTAGTGTACATTTTACATTTATATGTGAACCTGCTACGTGGTATAGTGCATTGGTAACTCAATATTAATGTATATGTGGGTTTATCACTAAATACTCAACTGTAGTGAATTGAATACTGAATTAAAAAATATAGGCAAAATAGCCAAGTACTGACTTATGTGAGTTGGAGAATTTTTCCAAATCAGCTATTTTTGCCCACATTTTGCAATTTGGTTTAATATTGTTTACAATTTGGGGTTTGGTAATGTAATCCCTATAATTAAATTCAATCTCCATTCATGTTAGATATACACTGATCAGCCACAACATTAAAACCACTGACAGGTGAAGTGAATAATATTGATTATATCGTTACAATGGCATCTGTCGAGGGGTGGGATATATTGGGCAGCAAGTGAACAGTTAGTTCTTGAATTTTATGAGTTGGAAGCAATAAAATGGGCAACGAAAAGATCTGAGTGACTTTGACAAGGGCAAAATAGCGATTGCTAGATGATTGGTTCAGAGCTGTGTTGTGGGGTGTTTCCGGCATGCATTGGTTGGTACCTACCAGAAGTGGTGCAAGGAAGAATAACCGGTGAATGGAATCAGGGTCATGGGCGCCCAAGGTTCATTGATCCACATGGGAAGTGAAGGCTAGCCCATCTGGTCCGATTACACAGATCGTAGCTGAAAAACTAAATGCTGGTCATAAGAGAAAGATGTCAAAACATATAGTGCATCATGGTTTGCTGTGTATGGGGCTACATAGCAACAGACCGGTCATAGTGCCCTTGATGACACCTGTTCACTGCCGAAAGAACCTTTGTGAGCATCAGAACTGGACCATAGAACTTTGGAAGAAGGTTGCCTGGTCTGATGAAACACATTTCCTTTTAGATCTGGATGGATGGCCAGGTGTGCCTGCGCCATTTACATGGCTGGATAAACTATGAAAAGAAGGCAGGCCGGAAGAGGCAGTGTTATTTTCTGGGCAATGTTCTGCTTGGAATCCTTGGGCCCTGACAGTTATGTGGATGTTACATTGACACGTACCACTTACCTAGAGATTGCCACTCCATGGCAATGGTGTTCCCTGATGGTAGTGGCCTTTTTCCGCAGGGTAATGCACCCTGCCACACTGCAAAAATGTTCAAGAAAGATGTTTCCTCCAGATTTCCCAGATCGCCGATTGAGCATCTGTTGGATGTACTGGAACAACAAATCTGATCCATGAAGGCCTAACCTAATATCTTGGTACCATTTACCACAGGACACATTCAGAAGTCTTGGCGATTCCATGCCTCCAAGCGTCAAAGCTGTTTTGGA